TTTATTTATTTATATAAATTTATTCAATTTATTTATGATTTAACAAGTACAGGCGGCGTTCGATGATTCAGGCGGAAGGTGGACGAGACGCCCAGATCGATTARCAGGCACTACTTCTCCTCCTCTTTCTGCTCTTCCTGCTCTTATTGTAACCCTTAGACCGTCTGCTCGAGGACCTCTTCCTCCTCCTGCTACGGCGACTGATGCCTGAACAAGAACTTCCACGCTTGGTGGCCGCAGTCGTGAGGTTGCCGGACGACGAAGCGTCTTCGGTGTTCTCTTCGTCGGTTTCAGCATCGGTGTCGCTACCACTGGTCTGATGTTGACGCCGACGACGCCGACGTCGCCGACTACCCTTCCGCCTTCTCGATCTCCTCCGAGACGCCGCGTTCATCATCGACGAGTCGTTTTCGTTTTCGTCATCTCCGTCGTCGTCGTCGTCGTCGTCGTCGTCGTCTTCGGTGTCTGTGATCGTGTCGTAGCTGTCTTCTTCTTCGGTACTATTACCAGCGCTCCGTCTCCTGCCCCCACGGCGACCGGACCGCGACCGCCTCCTGCGTCTTGTCGATCTGCGACGTCTCGAGGATCGACGACGACCACGTCTCATTTCTACTAGGCCACTAACACCAGCCAAAGCATTGGTAACACCACCCGTCTCGACGTCGTTATTTCTCAGCGACTCGCTTCGTACTGTCGGCTTTTTCGCAGTGAGTCGCTTTTTAATGCTCCTTTTGCCATCCATAATATATTATGTGACGTGATGGTTTGTTCTGAATATATARTGACAACCTCAGATGGCACTCGTACGATTTTCAACAATTAACTAATATCCTTCCTTCGCATTACTATGTCGAATAACAAACAACTCGTCCGTACGACGCAACGTATAAATACTAAACACAGTGACCATATTTTTATTTCAACCAGCARCAATAAAATAATAATGAAATCCGCTCTTGGCTATAAATATTATAGTGTAAATTATAGTATATTATAATTATAATTATTGTATAATTATATTATAGTGTAAATATTATGTATTTCAATATGATACATTATTATTATTATTATTATTATTGATCTTTACATAAAACATCGGCTGTTTGGGCCATTAATTTGACATTAACTTAAAATTGGTTAACAGAGTTGTGATGACATTGTGATATTACGTGGCTTAAATTAAATTATAAAAATTATGTATTTTTTTTATAAATTGTATGATGYGTTGGAGGTTGATCGTATAAGTCTGGTCCTAGTGCTTCTCCGATGTGTTATGAAAAATTGTGTTTTTTCTCATGTCTTCGTATTTTTGGCATTTATAGGTAGTGATGAAATTCTACAGTTTGACTATGTAGACCACTCCGCACGTTTCGCATATAGGTGGGTCTTTTCCGATCATGAGATGGTTGTTCGTGATGAATGTGCTCCCTGTTCGTAGCCGATTTAGTCGGTAMACCTAGTTTAATCTTTCCTTTTTACTMCTGGCCTCTGGGTTCCYGGATGTTGTTTTTTATTTGTTATTATAACATAGTATTATTCTGGTTTGTCCATTTGTTRTGCCATTGGTGGTATAGAACTTGATTGGTTCGTTTTTTTTATGCCTTCGTTTGTGTATTGGAGTGAGAGAATTGGAGTGTCGTTGGAAATTGCTGCATTTGACTTTTCTAGATCTGCTTTTTCGTTG